GTTAATTCCCTTTATTTATTTCCCACGTGGAAAAGGAAAAATAGATAACTTTTCACCTTTATAAACAATAAAGTCTAAAAAAATAATAAAAAAAAAGTTTTGTCAACTTTTAATATTTTTTTATAATAATTAATAAAAAAAATAGGATCAAAACACCTATTTACCTCTAGACAACTTTTTTTTTTTTTTACTATCAATACCCTAAATTAATTTTTTTTTTCAATCAATATATTCTACAATTTGAAACTTATAAAAAAAAAAACTTTAAATAATCAAAATCAAGATGCAAATAAAGGATTTGACCATTATTTTTTTGTAAATAAGGGATTTGATTATTAATTTTTAAATTTTTTTAAATTTCAAATTATAAATTTAAAGAGTGTTGATAAAAAAAAATTAATTTAAGGTGTCAATCATAGAAAAAAAATGTTTACAATGTAAATAAGGGGTTTAATCAAAATATGATTAATATATTCGTAACCAGTACTTTTCTTCAGTACAAGTGAATCACCATAATAAAAAAGTTACTAAAACCATTTAATATGTAAAAGCAATTGGTAACTTTTTAATTTCTAATTTTTCTTTATAATTACGGTAAACAAAAGAAAATAATAAGTCTTTATTTTATCATAGATAAGAATAAAAATAAAATAATATTAAGAGTTTTTAAATTTATACCTTAAGTACATATGTTAAGAATATATTTATTATATTTTTAATTATAAGTTTATATGAAAAATAATGAAAATAAAATTTATTTTTAATATTAGAACTACGTAAAATCTTTTAATTAAGCCATTAATAAAATTAGAATTAATTTTTATTTTTATATAAATTAATTAAAAAACATAATAAATAAATTTTTAATATGTGTCATTCTAACTATTAAGATTTAATATTTTTAAAAGCTAAAAAGTAAGACAATTAATTTAGGTTATTTTTATTTAGTGGGTGAGCCGAAAAAGGTTTGAGGGAGTCTTTACCAAAACAAAATTACCAAGCAAAAATTTTCATCCATTAAAAAAGAGTAGTGATGCCACGGATAAATCAAATTATTAATTAAATTGATACATTAAATGTTATGAAATTTAATAAAGTGAAAAAAAATTAATTCTTAAGTAATATAAATTAATATTTTAATATTTTAAAGGATTTGTCCTCTTTTTTTTTTTTGTCTTTTTAGGATACATTTATTAATAATAAGGAATATAAAAAAGAATATCCATTCATTTTCTACTAAATCCCTTCTTATCCATTCATTGTTCGGATTTTAATCTGAAATTTCAAATCCTTCATTATTTTTTTGGTTTCCGTTCAATATCCGGGCTTTTCCCCGATTAATCCGGACTCGACCAGCGTCGCGCACCTAAAAATGATGGGTAAGTCTCCCAACGAAGGCTGTTGCATTCACCAAGTCTCGAACTCGAAACCTTACTTAAGCTGAAACAAGCCGTTTACCACTTGATCCTATCCTTCGTTGGTTCAAATCCTTAATTATTAAATCACTCATTTGGGGTTAAAAGATTTGTCTAATATATATTTTATAATATATTAATTATATTTTTTTATAATTAATTTATATAAAAATTTGAACCATATCAATTATTATAGAAGGAGAACTGTATAATTATTCATTAAAAAAATGGTGAAATAAAAAACAAGCTTCCGTGTTGTAGCATTCCACAGCTTAGGACATCTCTCGTAAA